AAAATTAACACTTAAAAAACATTAATAAAATTAAAGAATATTAATAAAATTAATACTTAAAAAAATATTAGTAAAATTAACATTTTAAAAATATTAATTAAATTAACACTTAAAAAAATATAAAAAAATTAAATAAAAAAACTGCATGAACAGTGCAAGTGAATTGCACGGTGCATGTGAACAGTGCAATTCATTGTGAACAGTGTAGTGAATTGCACTATTCATGTTAATTGCACTGTAAACAGTGTTAGGTGAATTTTTTTGCATTATTTCTGTGAGCAAAATTCATTGTACAATGTCCGACTCAATAAAAAAAATTAATTTTAAAAATAATATTTTATATAAAGTATTATTTATTTTATAATATAATAAGAGTAATTAATTTTACAATATTTAAATTTAAAACCATCAATATTAATATATATATTTTTAAATTATTTTATAACCTCAATTTTAAAATTATTTTTAACTAAATATATTAAATAATTTTTTCTTTAACCTTAATTTCAACCATAATTTTAACCAAATATCTATTTTTTCAAATTAATCTTTACCAAAAATATTTTTTATAAAATATTTTTTTTTAAATCATAATCACAACAGTTATTATAATATGAAACGCATTCTAATACTTCACTTTAAAAACATAATAAAAAGTAATATTTAATTGCTTAATTTTTAGAAAAAAAAATTATTTTAAGTAGGAAATACCTTTTATAAGTTATGAAAAATTTAAAAATGTCATATTATTTACTTATTATATCAAATTTGATCCTCAAACTTTTAATTGCTATATATTTTATTTTGAATTTTATTTTTTTAATTTTACCTCATAAAATTTAATTTTTATATCAATTTTGATTTTTATTTTCATAATTGTTATTCTTTTCTCTTATTATTTTTTAATTGAAATTTTTTATCTATTAAATTTGATCTTTATTCTTTTTATTGTTATTTATTTTATTTGAAACAATTTATAATATTATAATTATTTTTTATTTCATCATCTTTTAACTTTTTTATCTGTTAAATTTGATCTTTAATAATTTTATTGTTATTTATTTTATTTGGGATCATTTATAAAATTAATTCTTTTTTTATTTTTATTTTCATTCAACTTTTTAGTTTGTAAGATTTGCTACTCATTATTTTAATAAACTTTAAAAAAATATTAATAGGTTATTTTACAACTCATTTTTCATGACATAACTAAACACTAGAAAATATTTTCTAAATTATTTTTCATGATACTATCAAATATTAGAAAATAATTTACTTTTTAGGAATTTATGTTTCAAGGAAATCACTTTTCATTAAAAAAAACTACATTCCAGCAAATAAATAGAAACTTAAACTTATTTTTTACACAATTAAGCCCTATTAAAACCAAATTAAAACCCAATTACAAGTCTTTTTTTTAAGAAATGGATGAATTGAAATAAATGAGATTGAAGTGAAAAATGCAAGAAAGATAGGTGGTAGCTTGAAATTTTCTGTCAAAAATTCATTTGAGTCCCCCATCTTTTTTATTTATTGGGTCATCGATCCCTAGACTTTTACAAAATTAAATTGTGATACCAAACTCTGTTTTAATTATTTTTTAAAACTTTTTGGTTGGAGAAGAGAGAAGAGCTTGCTGAATTATAGCTTAGAGAGAGAAAGTGTATGTTGGCGGAGAATTCGACCGTCAAAAAGTTATTTTTTGTGTCAAATGGTTTCATATGACGAAAAAAGTAGATTAGATTTTTTTTTTACCTTGAAAACATCTAAAAATTAGATTTAAACTTAGAAAGTTTTTCATTTCGAGTGGATTTTGGGTTTTAGAATAATTTTTTATGTTTCTCATGACCATAGATTGATTTATCAATGCTCATAGAGTGTCTCCTAAGTATTCTGAGTTAAAATAGATAAAAGATTAAGTTTTGGGTTAAAAAACAAAGTTTCTTGTTTTTTCAAGCACTATAGTGACTGAATTTTGGAAATAAACAAATCACGTGTCATATGATTATGATGATCCATTAGTTGATATATTTTTAAAATAAATTTTAGGTTTATGTTTTATTAGTTTGTGGTGACATTTTAATGATATTGGATGTATTTAATTTTTAAAGAGATAGGAATGGTCAACTATAATTTTTTCTTAATTTTATATAGATTAAATTTGTTTTTCTAATTATATTAATTTTTATATGTGCAACCTTGTATTTTTTTTATTCATTGAATTTTATATGTGTCAGTTTCTATTATAATTTTTATATGTTTTTACATTATAAATTTATTTTGACAAAAAAATTCATTAAACATAACAACATAAATTACCCGTATTGCGATGTTAAATATTTTAATCTTTATTTGTTACTTAATTTTTTAAAACTTATCAATTTTAGGTTGGTGTTTTACTTTGCAAGTGTATATTTTTTTTATAATGTAGTTAAATAAAAAATAGTTTTGAAAAAAAAATAATCTCATTGAAATTTATAATATAGTTTACATATTTGACCTGCTAACCCATGTTATCTAATTCATATATTTAACAAATTCATCCACAGACGATATATGTTTTTTAGTTTTTAGGACGTGGCAGTTGATATCTTTTGCCAGCGTTTGATGTTCTTGCTGCAGCTTTATTTTGTACTCCAGTTCTCTTTAAGAATTTTGCTGCACGTCTGCTCCAGAAGCCAGAGCCTAAGAGCTGTTTATTTGTGTTTTAAAAAAACTAAATTTTTTTTATTTTTTATTAATTTTAAATTAATATATTTTTAGTATTTTTAAATTATTTTAATGAAATGATATTAAAAATAAAAAATCATTAATATATATTTTAATATAAAAAATTATTTAAAAAGTAACAGTAGTTTCAAATATTCTCTAGATTTCTCTCCGCTTATAACTTTATTGAAACATCAATTTTATAGTTTCTTCACCAATTAATGACTTACAACAAGAAGTAAAACAACACAAACTAGATGCATGGCGGCGCTCAGGGCCGACCCTAATTTTTTATCTTAAAGGGAGAAAAAGAAGATGTAAGTATTAAAAAACGAAATTAGAAGCTCAAATTATTGACATGAGTAAATAAATCCATTTAAATTTGATGATGTGGATTAAAAAAAACTGCAAAAAAAAAAGAATACATGAATCCATCCAATTAACTTGCAAAAATCAAGATAATCTCGTCAAAAATAAATTAAAATTTTAAATATCAAACAATTCAATATTATAAAATAAAATTAAAAAAAATTAATCAAATTAAGTCAACTTATTAACCTCGCGACCATATATATAATTGAGATAATTAGATAAAAAAATAAAAATAAAATAAAGATCAAACTCTAATAAATCAAATATTGAAGGATAATAATAAAAACAATAATAAAGAACAAAAAAAAAAGGAGATTAGCATGTGTTAATATTTAAAACTCGTGATTAATCTCGTTGAAAATAAACCTAAAAAAATAATGAATAAAATTTGGAGAGAAAAAAGACAATAAAAAAAGAAATCAAAACAAAACAAAGAACAATAAAAAAATAGATAAAATTTGACACAAAAATAAATTAAAATCAAACATGGAGTATGGATGGCAATGAGTACCTACATGTTAAATTTCTTGATATTTATACTCTACATGTTACCCACCCAGTAAAAAATATAAACATTTATAAACTATCAATTGGATTTAGGATATCCACACAGGTATCAATCCTTGGGCTATTATTTATTTTTCAATAAAAAAATTATATATATTTGAAGTGTGTATTTTTAAAATTATAAAATTATATATCATATTGCATTAAGAAAATAAAAATATTCAACAAATATATCTATATAATATAAATATATATATATATATTTCATGTTGAGTTTAGTGGTTTTCAAACCCTTTTTGATAATATTCATATATTATTTATTATCTATTGGGTAATATAATTATGAAAAAATAATAATGGCTCATTCAAGTTGATATTTATCAAATTCATATTAAATTTTCACCCCTAATGTTAAGGGATGAATTTGTTTATTCATATGTATATCTATTATCTAACCACTATTTATTATTAACTAAAACATTAATTAACTACTATATAAATTTGAAGAGTGCATGTGTGCCCAATTATTAAACTATAGAATAATACACACATGTGTATCATTGAGTTCAAATTAAATTTTTATATCTAATGTTGATGAACTAAAATAAAAACTAAATTGAACAAGGAAAATACTAAAAATAAAAAATAAGGATAAATTTTAAAATAAAAAATAAATGAAATTAAATAATGAGAGATGAAATTAGAGAAAAAAAACTAATTTACATAAGATATAAAAATAAAATAAATAAAAATTAAAAAATAAGAATTAAATTTAAAATAAAATCAAATGACAAGAACAAAATTGAAAACAAAAACTAACCAGCAAAAGATAAAAGAACAAATAAATGAAAATAAAAGGAATAAAAATCACATCATATAAAAAAACATATGAAAAGAAGCTTGTATACTTTTCACAAAAGATGAGAGAGAGGAAGGGAAGTTATATGAGTCACACCATACATTATTTGTTAACAGACACAACACCACTTAAAAGCTTTTAGTGGATGTTTGTTTACGTGATAGCTTTAACTTTTAAAGCAAACGGCGTAAACTAAGCATTTAGTAATCTAAGAAAAATAGTTTTTATTTAGTGGACTCCATAATTTTTTCTATCAAATCGGGGTTTTGTAAAAGCAGTTGGGATCTGCTTCTCTCCATTTGCTTCTTTTTATTTACCTGGACACTGTTCATAATAATGCTCATGTTAGGTGATGCCAAGTAAATTAATTCAACTTGGCATTGTTCACTCAAAGAAGTGAAGAGTGCCCGAGTGAATTATAATTCACATGCAATACGATAAGTATTCATTTGGCACTGTTCATGTAAACAGTGTTGGTGAATTTTTTTACATTATTTCTATGAGCAAAATTCATTGTACAGTGTCAGACTCGATAAAGAAATTAATTTTTTAAAAATTATATTTTACTTAAAAAATTAATATTTAATATTATTTAATAACATTATATAAATTAAAAGAATATCACATGATGATGTAGCATTTGTAAAATTTGATCGCAATTTTAATTTTGTTGTTGATGATATTTTAACTGATTTTGTTGCATACTTAAAAAACTATGGAACCTGTAATCCTTATCAGATGAATTTTGTGCGTAATGAAATTATAAATAGTTTAATAGAATAATAAATAATATTTTATATAAAGTATTATTTATTTTATAATATAATAGGAGTAATTAATTTTACAATATTTAAATTTAAAACCATCAATATTAATATATATTTTTTTAAATTATTTTATAACCTCAATTTTAAAATCATTTTTAACTAAACATATTAAACTATTTTTTTTAATCTTAATTTCAACCACAGTTTTAATCAAATATCTATTTTTTTTAAATCAACTTTAACTAAAAATAATTTTTTTCAAATAATTTTTTTCAAATCATAATTACAACAGCTCTATCGTAATATCAAATACACTCTAATACTTCACTTTAAAAACATCATAAAAAGTTATATTTAATTGCTAAAGGAGCCCACACACATCACGTGAAAGGCACGTACAGTGCATTCTCATGCAAGTTATGTTTTTTAAATATATTTTATATATATTAAAAGATTCAATTGCTTTTAAATCTAGACATATGCAAATAATAAAAACAACCCTGGATGCAAGTTAAAGAAAAGCAAAATTGCAAGGTTAGTTAAGTAATTGTGATGTTAAAAAGAAAAGCCTGTTGCCCCATAATATAATTTTTGTTTCTAAATAATAGACTAGTAATTTCATTGCACAATCTAGATCAATTTATCCCCAAATAAATTAATAATGCCAACAAAACACCATAAAAATACTATTTTATCCCAAAAAAAACTCGCCCTTTCCTTTCAGTCATGAAGGGCAAAATTATTAATATATTATATCAATCCACAATACACTTGAGTTTTGTTCCACCATGAAAGGGTGATTAAGCTTAGTTTTTTTTTTTAATTTATCAGACTATTCTTGTTTGATGTGTTTTACCTTTTTTATTTTTCAACAAATGGGGCTAAAGCTCAATACAAATGGCTCGATTGCATGTTTGACACCAATATTATTTGTTTTTATGATATTCTATATTAACTTTCTAGCCTCCATACTTCTTGCTGATTAGCAGAGTTTACGGGGTTTTTTTTTTTTTGAACGATCCTTGAAATTTTTTTATCAATGGTCATCGCCCTCCATTATTTATTAGCAACAGCTCCTCTTCCAGTCAGGCAAGAAGGACTAGTTCGAAACAAGGGGGAAGAAAGGGAAAATGATTATATTATTAATTGGAGAGCTCAGAGATTAGGGCAGTAGTGTGGCCCATTATTTTTAGACCTATACATGGCCTTCAGGCCCGTCTGATCCAACCAAGCTCGAAAGCTATTTACATGACTTTTTCTCTGTAGAAGTTTGGCCCATGAGAAACCTATTTGTATATTTTCTCAATCGAATTCGAAACTCTCACTGCTCAAATTTCGTCCCTCGCACATTTTTTGCCGAGCATTTTCTAGCTTTGTTCCCACCTTTCTCGATAACTGTTGTGTTGAGCACCCTTCAATGCCAATAATGCAGCTCCACAGGCAGCCTCTGTTTGCATTACCCGACTCATAGGCAGGCCAAGTGCTCTCTCTCGTATCTTTATCCATTTTTCGCGGCATTCATTTCATTTGTTTATAAAGTTTGCAAAAAGCTTGCGAGCCATCCTGCGTCCACACGATGGGGGAGCTGCCAAGGTCGTGAGTCCATTGAGATAAGGCTTGTAAGACTATAAACCAGCCTTGTTGGGAACAGGAGAACTTGCTAGCCTTGAGTGGCGACTTGTGAACCACTTTTTTCTTCAATAATATGCATTTCTTTTAATTAGCAAAAAGGTGATAGCGGAACTTTAACATGACGAACGCCCTCGTTACCACAGAAACCCCTAGGGCAGTAAAACCCACGAGTTGTGGGCCACAACAGTCCAGGCCGTCGTGTTCGAGGAGTTCTGTCATCTACCATTGTACATGATACAACGAGAAACACAAAAATATCCGAGGGCTCGTTCAGAAAATACGTGTATTTTTTTTCTTTTATGTTTTTAAATTTTTGATATCCTAATATAAGAATAATTTTTAAAAAATTTAAAAATTATTAAAAATACTTTAAAAAATAATTATTAGTACATTCTCAACACTCTTATAATTTACAAGTCTGTTTAGGTCTTACAAGTCTGTTTAAGTTCCTG